TAATTATCAGTACAAGCTGTCAAAGAGCAGTCATCACAGACCTTGTTTTTTTACAGTCATTGTTTGTACATTTGACTTGTTCCAAACCAGCTGTAGTACACACAACCGCAGCTTCAGTTAAATAACATGAATGTGTTAGCCTCCAGGGACTCATTGACAATAGTTGAGACAGTCATTCCAAGATGTGTTTATTTTTGATATTTTCTATTCTGAATGTTTGGTTAACTTAGATGATCCCACAGTAACCAATGATCTGCCTGTTTAGAGTTCTCTGTATTGTAATCTGTACATTGCTGTTTAGGGTACGGTGTGCTAGTCCAAAGATCCTCAATGTCTTGTTTTTTTTTCTTAATTGAGTATTAGTCCTAGTCATGCAGTCAGAGATTTGTTGTTTTAGGCTTGAAAAATAAATTATTTTAAGCAGGGTTGACTAATTCTGTTTGCCATATAAGTGTGTTCAGGCTTAATGAGGATAGAGTACTTCCAATCCCATGTCCCAGCCTACACACTCATTCACAGCAGTCCTGAATATTGAAAACTAAGAAATGTAGAACTATGCTAAGACCGAATACAGCATAAAGGCATCCCCCACCTTAGTCCTCAACTCAGATATCTTCTGTGGTCAGCACCCAGTGACGACATCTGTCTTGGCACTATTTCTGGATCAAATCCAACAATCTGTTTGTCCTCATCAATCGAATGGTTTGTTGAGACATTTAAAAGTATTGTAATGAATGTCATCATGCTGTCTCTGTCTTGTTGAATGTCTTTTGTTTCTTTTTTTTTCTTCCTTGGAGGCTTCAGCTCACTCATGTGGCTGTTTCCAGGGTAACCACATTCCCTTTCAAAAATTTACCATGTCTGACATTGGATACTGTCCGTCTCCATGGCAACAAAGCCCCTAAAGTCCCAGTTAAATATAAGATTTGGTATCAAACTAAAAGGTGAATTAAGACTTTGGAAATGACCAGTTCCTGTTGATATCCACTCTTTACAGTCCTTAACAGAAAAGACAATTTCTCAAATTGCTCATTGTCTTCACCACTCATGGTCAGTCACTGATAAAAATTGATTTATGTCTTTAGGGGGATCTTAAACCAGGCAAGATGTTGCCTACCTGCAGCTCGTCCACATACCTCTATTGATCCATGTTGGAGAGGCAGGCTTGATGTCGCATCTCTCCTCCCTCTCTAATGGCTTCAGTGTTTAATCTCTGTCCGTTTCTACCGGCCTGTCACTTTCTATCACACATGACTGCCTTTTCATTATGTTCCTGATGTCGGACACATTGAGACACAGCTTCTGAGGCAGCAGTTTGTGCTGTACTCTCAGCCATCTCCATCACCGCTAGCCACATGACAAGGTTTGAAATATAATAATGCTTTCATTGAAGAAAGCACAAACCTGCATGACAGCTTTCCCTATAGAAAGAGAGGACATGCAGTGCATTCAAACGATTCTGTAGATTTGTGGCTCTAAATGACCTTTATGAATATTTGACATTTCAGTGGGGAGCTTGACTTTTTATTGATTACTTCAAAACCATTTCAATCTTGGCTGGGTTAATTGTTACAGATGTAGCACCCTCACTCAAGGTCTGCTAAGCTGTTTTACACCTGCAGTGATTTCCCATTAGCGCCTCTAATTGGAGGATTCATTATGTGATGTGTGACCATTTAGACAAAATAGAGGACAGACTGAATGCGTAGATGAAAAGATGTTGAGTAATGACATGAGACTTTGAAATGTCATGATTTCCTGCGGCAAAGCTCTGGACTATACCCTTACAGTGCTCTCAAACACCAGACTTGAACACAGTGGTTGTTAGCAACAATTAGACAGGCATGTCTTCTCCCAGCAGACAGCATTTTTGGGGGGACTGACTTGTGGCAGCCAAGTTTCATTGTGTTGTTTTTACCATAACTTGTTCTAAAATATTTTAATAAATTATCCATGTGTAGGGCTGAAACAGTTACTTAAGTAACTGAATTACTAGAAATCAAGCAAGCAATTTCTTTGTTTAATCCATATGACTATATCCAGTCATACAGCGCACTGTGTCTTGCATGGATAATTATTACCTTCACACAAGAGAGACAAAATAGCAAGGGGCTAAGAGAATAGGCAGGCCAGAGACACAATAACACAATATTAGTGCTCCACTGTGAAAAGCTAGCTATCAGCAGACAAGTCATTGTTTTTTGATCGATCATATGTTGTCCTCTCAGCACTGTCTAAATGGTCAGAAATCCGCTGCCATTCTTTTGTTATATATTTCCTTTCCAACAGCTGAATCAAACTTGTCTTTATGTAAAACATATGTAGATGCAAATTGCATTCATTTTGTTATTACCAGCTCTTCGCAAGGTATTGCTCAATGGCAAATGTTGCACTTTATGATACACATGAAGACAATATTGGCAGCTACATGTATACTGGAAGTGGGTAAGGTAATTGCAAGCTAATAATTGTGCAATGTAATGTACACTTCTGTTGTCTAGATGAATGGTATCTAGTAAGGCTGCTCAATTAATCGAAATTTGATCATGATTACGGTTTTGGGGCCAAACGATCTCAAAACTAATAAAATCGGAGGGAAACGGCCACAGCGTATTTCCGTCCCTCCCCGCAGCAAGCACTGCACATCATGCCCTCGGTATACTCGCCGTTCCCGACCTTGTGAAGTCACGGGAGCGCCGTAACTATTTATACTTGCGCCGGTGGTTGCGACACTAGTTGCAGTCTTCTCCTGTCTCGTTGTTTTCGTTTGAACAGGTAACGCGGAGACTTACAAATGTTTATGGGGAAAGGAAAGTGTAACTGAGGACTTCCTTGCAAAGTGTTTTTGACAAATGTCCAATTAATGCAGCATGTTTCTGAAGTTTAAAAAAATAATAATCGTTTGAATAATTGTGGTTTCAATTTTGACCCAAATAAACGTGATTATGATTTTTTTCCATAATCGAGCAGCCCTAGTATCTAGTAAAGTTTACTATGTCTGCAGTATGGTATGAATTTGGAGACAAATAGTTCAACTGAATACGTGCTACTGGTGCTTACAATGTTTGCAGACAAAGTATTTGATGGCCAGGAACAACAGAGTTGCTTTTTGTTTAAACAATGACAGACTGATTTGGAAGATTATAAGCAGAAAGTTGGTCTGCAGCTTTGCCTCAGCCAGAGATGGGAAGGATGATGTGTGTCCACCCAGCCCAGTTCAGAAGACTGAAGCCGGGGAACAATGACAAAGCACTGATGGCTGTAAAATGAATGCCCTGTTAGCAAGTGTCTGACATAAGTTGTGTATATTGTAGATTTACACAGTCAGTGTCCAGTACAATGACCTTGGGAACTCTAGGCAAGTTTCTAACAGGAGAAATGTTTATGCTGCACAGTGTTGTCCTGCCTGCAGCCCCCTGCTGATGTCCCAGACAACCCAGTGTTTTTTGCTTAGTTCAGTCTCACTCCAGATGTAGAGGAACAGCAGGACTGGCCAGCGTCCACTCAGATGGGGTAATGGGATGAATTATAGAAAGTGTATTTGCCACATCTTAAGTGTTCTTCAAAACAGCATGAGTATTGTATGCGCCTGATGTAGATTTGGTCTTTTTTTTAATAAAAAAAATATAGTGAACTGACTTACTCAGCTTAAGGGCAACTTGCAAGTGTACCGTCACATTCGTACATTTTTGTGTTGTTTGCTAGGACGTCATATGTTGGCTGACCTTTTCCCCTGTCTGAAGGGCATTCATCTCCAGCTGTTCAGGTGAAAGCATGGTATGTGTGCAGGTGATGCTAGGACCCCAATTAGCACAGATCATAACATTTAAGTGAATGCAGCAAGTCCATATTTACATCCTCCTCACCCATTATCATTGATGGAGCACAACATGGCAAGCCTAAATATAGTTTGGCTTGTTTAATCAGAATAACTGTTGTTGGCATGGATCGGCGGATGTAACTGCCCTCCCAAGGTGTTGCCATCTGAAGGCTGGTGAGATGTTATTATAAAAAAAAAACCCACAAACACGCTGCTGTGATAAATCTAAAGAAGGGCTGTATGGGTTGGCATTTCTGTCATGTAGCATTTTTGTCGCAGCAAAAATGCATTTGGAAAAACAATGTGGTTCAACAGTGTAACCACTGTGGTTGACCACTGTCTCTATACTGTCGCCATCAGTGTCTCTTTAAGCAGCTTCAGTTTATTTATGATCTAAAGTCACTGTTTCTCTGCATTGGTCTTGAAATAACTGGTATGTAAATGTACTTAGTAAATGCCTGTCATACCTATTCTCCCAACCAGCTTTTTGTTCCTTCAGTGTATTTTCATTGCAACAAATACTGCTTCCTCAGTAATGGAGCTCGTAGAAAAACGAATCACCTGTTCCTATAGTAAAAGAAGACATTTTGAGGATAGTCCACTGTAAAGTATTCAGATTTAAACACTAGTATTATTGTGAATCCCAGCTCAACTCGCAGTACTAGTTTGCATTCCTCTACAGCATCCCTCAAAACATATGGTTACCACATGTAATTTCCCTTGTCTGGAATGGCACCTCTTTGCTGACCTTAAACCCAATCCAATAGACCAGACACTAACAAATGAAATGGGATGTGGCAGGCTGTGCGGCAGGCTGTGCCCCACCCCTGTGGGACTGAATGTGATTACTTTAATAACCACCTGTTGGACATTTAATGGGATTATACTAAACTGTCTCAGTAGAACAGATTACAACACAGAAGACTGACCCTTACGTGTGTGCCTTTCTGTTAAGGGGTTATATCCACTTACTGGTCATTAACCAACAAGTCACAGGTATTACCATTTCCTAAATTTCAGTGTTTTGTACAAATATTTACATGCTCCTGTTGTATTTTGTTAGACAGACACCTACCTGCCCCTCAGGCCAACAGCATTACTAGTCAGACTGGACCCTGTGTCTCTCGTTTACAAGTTTGCTTACTTCTCTTTCTCTCCCCATCTCTTCCTGTCCTACCAGTTGTCCGTTCCTGGCGCTGGAGTTGACCCCAGTTATCCCGGTCATAGGAGGTGTGCTGTTTATGTTTGTACTGGGGACACTCCTGAGAACCAGTTTCAGCGACCCAGGGGTCCTGCCCAGGGCCACCCCTGATGAAGCAGCTGACCTGGAGAGGCAAATAGGTAAGACTAAATGAATTATTTATATATGAAAAATGGGAATGAAAACATTATTGGGGATTTGTTTCTCAGCGTTTCTCTGGATGTGTTCTCTCACCCTTGTTTACTCTTTCTAACTATTTTCAGTCAGTGTTTTGTATATCCAGGCTCTCCCTCCCTGTGTGAGCTCATGGTTACCTCTATCTTAGATACTGTATTTGTCTGAGTGTGGTGCTGATCCAGGGGAGCTAGTGTGTGCCTTTTTAAAAACTTCCCATACGGAGTGCCAGATTATCTGTCTGATGTGACTGGGGTGTGATTCTGTGTAGTCAGAGAAATGGGGATCAAGCTTCCACTGACTGTAAAGGCACTCTGCATGTAGGCTGAGGTGAAGTATTGGCTCTGCTTTGACCAAATGGCATTTGATCTGTTTATTTCACTCCAACTCTCTCCAAGGGCCCTGTCTGATGTATTACCTGACACATAAATTTCATCTGGATAACTTCTGAATCAAATTTGTGATGTGAAAGGTAAAACTGTTGGTGCATTAGGAACCACTTGATATGGTGTAAGTGAATTACCAGCAGCATCACAGCACTGACGGTAGCTCGCCATGAGTCAGGAACTGCCGAGACTACATTGTGTGATGTGGATTCAGTCTGTGGATGCCTCACTGTTTACAGTATATTACATAACATATAGAAAGATCAATAAAGATCAGTAATTGATTTTGAATTAAATGCATCAATGCAAGAAAGTATCTGGATGCAGATGATTGTTTTTTTTACTGATGAGCCAAAAATTGAGAATGAGACAAATTGACAAATAGTCATTCAAGACTTCCTTTTCTCTACAATTTCCACTATATTTAAGATATCTCATGGATAACTGACCTGCTGTATTCAGCATCAGAAAAGTTATTAAAGTAGTGCTCAGAATAATCAAAACAAATGTTGAGAAAGGCAATCTGAGAGCAGCGAAAATGTTACATGTTCAGATATTGCTTAAGACCGCTGCATAGATGTAACCATCAGCCATATAGAAGTTGTTAAAATTGTGTGGTTAAGAGTGTAGTCAGCTACATTAGGCCTCTTTCAGAGGAGGCAGAGAGACAATTAAGGGCACTTAGACTGAAATTTATACTGGTGTCAGTTTAGTTACTCGCCAGTAAGTTGCAGGACTGAATCCCCATTCTTCAAAAGTGTCCCCACTGCCCTGTAGCTAAGTGGATTATCACCACTTTACTCAATTGTTAACTTTTTAAACCCTCTTTTTAAAAATCCCATTTAAATTTTTGGTCCTTTTTTATTTGGGAAGTGAAGCTTCTATTTCCCAGTGTTGGTCCTTTCTGTGCTTCAGGCCACTGGGGCCTCATTAAACAAACTCTGGACTGGCTTAATTAATCTCATTAGGAGACTTAAAAGCTTTTGGAGAGAAGGTAAAGTACAGAGAGCTTGGAGCAGTGGGCCAAAACGGCACTGTGCAAAAGTACCATGTTATATTGGCAAGCGTTTTCAGAGAGTAAACAAATTAAAGGCTGAAATATGAACAGTGTTGACCCAAATACCACACTGCCCCCCTCTCCACCATCATTTCATCCCAGCTGGCTTTTGTGCTGTGCATTTTCAAGCGTAGAAATTGGCTGTTTCCAAACTGGAATCTCTTGTTCACAGACAATTGATTGTTGTCATGTTGTTGTTGGTTGCCTGTAGCTGAATCTGTGTACACACAGGTGGAAAAGTTGATGGTTAGTATGTTTGTAGTTTAGTAGTTTTTCCTATTGGTATATACATTGGTTATAACATCTTTCTCACCAGCTTAATTGCTGAGATGTGGGTTTGCAGAAGCTCGACACAGCGCAGTCTTCAATACAGTCCAGGACATCATGCTTACAGACAGATGATAAAAAAGTACAATTAAAGTATCTCAATCACTTGGAAGTTACAAATTGAGGTTGATTAAAATGATTAGCCAGACACACTCTTGTACTCATCCATCAAGTTTTGGATTATTTTGACCAGTGAATTAGTGTAGTTGCATGGCCACAACATTTTGTGAGTGTTTTTCACTTCCAAGAAAATGTTTGGATGAATTAGGCAAAGCTTGTTTTAATTGTGGAATAGCTTGTTTGATGCCCTTTGGTCTTTGTAGTCATTCCCTGAAACATCCACATTCAATCTGCCAGTAGAGTAATTGACTGTTTTAGTGTTGGTGCCATTATGGGTCCCATTATCTTCCATTTGAAAGAACCTGGCTTGAAGCATGGGCATTTTACACACACACACACGCACACACCCACGGACACATAAATACTTCAGGTGGTTTCTATCCTTCAGCTAGGAATGTTAGAGTTAAGATGAGAGGTAAAGGTCACTGCGTTTTCCCACAGCCAGTAAAAAGGTAGAAATGCTTTGTTTAAATACATTTTATTTATAGAGTTGCTTATTGCTGCTCTTTCTTCCTGTTTTCTCTTTTCTGTTTCTGTCAGTCTCTGTTAGTCTTGATATTGTAGTGTCTCTGGTTTTTTATTCAAACACGCTCTCCCTCCTCCTTTCTCTGGTTCCTTTGTCCAGACCTGTGCAGTGCTGTTTGGTTCTCGCCATGGCGTGGCAGCTTGACATGCAAGATATTTGTAGCACATCTGTTAGCTCTTAGCCTGATCATCCAGCCCCAACCCTCCTCACAATATCTTCTAAGAGAAAGCACTTATACCTGTTTCTTTCTGTGTCTCTCTTCCTTATGTTTCTTACCACTTGCTTATTGTCTTGAATATGTTTACACTTTTATTTTATTCATCCTGTGTATGCATGTTTTTACATGCTTGCTCTTGTAAGTGCTCATCATTCCTTCTCCTCTTTTACCTACAGCAGGACTCATTCCTAGAATTTTCTTTCTCATCTGACTGAGACAGCTCTGTCCTTTTTTATTCACAACTTCTTCTTTTTTTAACCAATATGTCCTTATGTAACTGTGCAGACGCAGATATTAAGAATAGCAGCTGACGCGCTCAGCCAGCATGGGAACCTTTTTCTCATGTCAGTGCTGCTATAATGTCATGGCTCTTTATCACTTCGGGCTTTGTTTCCCATATGTTCAGTTAATGCTTTCTTAATTTGCAAATGATGTTCAGCACTTGCACACTTTCCTCAACTGTCATACATGTATCGCCAATAAAATTTTCTATACAAAATCCTTAGTAGTAGGCATAGCTTATTGGGTGTTGCAAATTACCTCTGATTTATATTTTGTATCCATCGTGTGCATGTGTATTCTATGCATGTAGCTAACAAAAGTAATTAAAACAAAAATCCCTGAATACGCCACCTACCAGAGGCCCAAGAAGTTTTTCAGTTCACCAGCAGCCTCATAAATAGATGATGATGTTTTGTAGTCAGAGTGCTACAAGGCTCAAGTTCAACACCGCTCCTATTGATCTGTTGACTAAACAATAGAGGACCCAATGTCTGTACAATATGAGATATCAAGGTCCCTCATGCTCCGTGTGCTTTAGGAGGGAAAGCTGATAGCTAGGCCTCCGCTGTCATCATTGTTAGCAGATATCTCTACTCTCTGCCAAATGCTTTATCCTTTAGCGTGTGAAAAGGAGGTCAGAGTGGGTGGCCTGAAGATAGCCTACCTCAAACAAAATCAAATGTATCATTTTTGCACATGTACAAATATATGAGAAACATACGAAACTCTACAGTGTACTCCCAATGCAGCTCAAATACCATGTACTCTTGTAAAGGGTTGTTGGGGGAGAGTGTGGGGTCAGGAAAGGTAGCATAGCTTGTTGTTTTATCCCTGTTTGAAATGGAGACAAGAGCTGACTTCTCTTCAGTGTGCCGCGTTTGATGTCTCTGCATGTCTGCCTGCCTGCCCAATATGTCAGGACTAGACAGGCTGGCATCAGTTCAGCCACCACATGCCAAATCCAAAAGACTCTCTGAAGCATTAATCAGAGTGAGAGATGGTCAGAGCTGCCTGTTTCCTTCCTTCCACCTAATATGGTCCAAGCTAGCTGGTGAATGTCAGGGCAGCCGCACTGTTTTTTCCAAAGCTGCAAGCCAGACTCAAGGCCAGCAGAGGAAATAGCTTTTGGAGGGCTTAGAGTTTGTGCTGCTGGAGGAAAGATGAGCACATCAGTGGAGGATGCAATGACATTTAGGCTTTTCATGACTGCAGGAGCAGTCGATATGGATGTGCTCTGAAGTACATACTTTTTTTTCTTTCTTTGTTTCAATTTGTGAATGTATCTGTGTGTATGTTCTATGGGAATATTTGAATAGAAGCTTATGCATGCTAAGTAAAGCCAGGAATATGTCCATGTAGTATGATGCAAATGGTTGCATTGCACAAGTATGAGTCACTTTACAGGGTAAATTATGCCCTGACAAAGACCCTGTGGTTAAAATGTTTTATTAATTAAGTAGTTTTTGCCTTTGGGCCAGCAGTGCGACCCACTGCTTTCTTTGTTTTTTCTTTTGTTCATTGGAAGTATAATAAAATTCTGATATTAGGTAGTGAGAATTGAGACAGAATGTGATTTTTTTTTAAATTATTTTCCCCTTTACCCCATTACATTGCTTCTTTGCTCGTTTTTCTGTTGTAATCAATTATCCTCTCAATTCTTAATTTCCTCTCTGGTTCAGACAATGGTGGACTGACATTGACAAATAACAGGCATTGTGGGTATGCCAGGGTCATGCACTTATCACACTTGTCACCGTCTGATAAGAACTGCATTCTGGGTAAGAGACAGTTTTTCAGACCCAGTGAAGTTAGCAGAAAATTATCTGTGCTTTTCATATTTTAGTTATGGACAACTTGTTTCTTATTTCCACAACTGCACTTAACTGTATCAAGAAATAAACTGTTTGTAATTTGTGAATAATGAACGAGGCAGTGGACTGTTAAAAGTTACAAACCTAACATATTAACCAGGAATCGTCTAATCACATAAGCTGTTTCTTCTTGTGATCAAATTTGAGTCCTTTTTTTTTATATTAAAGGAAAAAGGCACA